TGTGTGCTTTAAGTCAGTGGAACTTTAGTTTGAGAAATTCTTAAGTAGTAGCAAAACAAATACGACAGTAGCAAGGGATGTTGCTATATTCAGGGCAGTTCTTCAGAGGATAGTAGGAAAAAGCACACATCTTTAGGAAATCAGAGAGTTTCCAAGAAATCATAAGGCAGACTTAGTGGAAGATGTATAAAATTTGAAAAGCTCACTCAGAAAGTTCTGGTTGTTGCTTTATGAATTTTCTGAAAATCAAGAACAATGAGGAATCATTTCATTTTCTTTCTGTTGGAAAGAAGGAAGCTGTGAAATATTTATACTTGTGGAAAAAAGAAAAGGTGATTTTCTGTAACTTTTTAAATGGTGGCTTGTTTTACTAAACTCCTTAATACCAAGGAGTTTTTCTGTAGTTAAGAGGAATAAGAATGTATTTGTTTCTACTTTATATGCAGAAGCAAATATTTTCATGGATATATATGCTTCGTAAGAGTGAAAGGTGACAGCAGTCTACAGGTACATGGATCTTCATTGAGCCAAGAAGATAGGGAAGGAAGCCCAGGATCGTTGTGGAATTTGTATCTAAGAGACTAACTTATTAAAACACCTCTTGGGTTTGCCATGCATGGATGGAGTAATTTTTATAGTAGAACATAGAGCTGCTGGCAGAGGAGAGTAAGGAAGGATGCCGTTTGTGTTTCCAGGTAATCTAACTTTCCTTCTAATGTCAGCAGCCATCCAGCACACCCTGACAAGAGGATGCAGGTGTTGCAGGAAAAAAAAAAGAAATTGAGCATTTCAATTTACCTCTAAGCAAGTGCTTATTCAACCAAGTGATGTCCAAAAGGAATGTCTATTAATACATTGTAAAAGAAAAAAGATGCTATAATCCCTAGCCATAATGGGAGGAAAATAAGCATTGAGGTACTATTTAATTTAAGCAAGTAGAAATGCACAAAAACAAAACCAACTAATGAAACAAAACCTAACCAAAAAAACTACTACCCAACACCCAAAAAACCCTGTTAATTATGAATAATTGTCTTTCTCCTAATGTTATGAACGGTGCTGTTGACTAAATGGCTATCAGTTTCAGTTCCTGGGTAATATAAAATGTGTGAAAAGTGTCAAATGTTACTGTACTTTGCAGTGAACGGAGAGCTGGTAGTCTCCTCCTGTGCTGTTGCAGTTGCACTTTGGGTAGATGAGGTGTAAAGCTGGGGATACACCGAGAGGGAGAGGTCTGCTGGGGGGGCAGGAGCTGCCGCTGAGGAGGAGAGTTTGGCTGAGTCTTGCCCTGTACACAGGTATCAGACAGTGGGGGTTTGCCCCTGGGGTAAGAGCAAATTGCACACAGCATTTTGGGGCCAAGTGAGAGCTGATCAAGAGGAAATCTTCTGGCCTTACTTTGTACCACTTGTTTCTGTGAAGAGCAAAGCAAGGACCTGCTGTAACTTGGTGAATGTAGGTACGAATGCCATGAGACACCTTTGCCTATATCAGCCCCCAAAAAATGAGATCAGTAGAGCTTTGCTGAAAGTATATATTACCTTAACTGTAATGAATAGTGCTTATTTCCATTCCACTTAATATTGCTTGTAACAATTGATACAAAATTGTATTCAAATAAATTAACCAAGACAGATAAAAATCTTGGCAGACTAGTGAACATGTACACAGTGAATGCTCTGTATTTTGCTGGTTTTGTTCTACAGTTTCAAAAGCTCCCTTGTTTGAAAAGCAACTAAAAATATTTTCTTTTTGGACTAAGGATGTTTTATTTTGATTTGAAATGTGTTCTGAACATAAATTGACTCTAGTGAAATGTGGGGATTCTATCTTGATGTTTCTGGATTTTTACATGCTGTATTCTGGTAAAAACAGCAGCCAGATTTCTTTTTTAATGGGAAAATCAGAAGGTTTTTCTTACTTACCTAAGAATTTTGGAAGAACCCCTTTGAGAGCTACACCATGACCTCATAGTCATTACTAAATCAGGTGCATGACAGCTCTTTTGTGATAAACAGGAAGTTTTTTGTTGTACTGCTTATTTTTCCCCCTTCATTTACTATCACAATTGACCTTTCACAAACTAGATAACTAGCAGCATTTTGAGCAAGACCTGGAGATTTTAACTTCTTAGGAATTTCTAAAAGCCAGGGGCCAATTAGATGCTTTCTCTAGAGATAAGTGAATGAGGCAATGGATACAAAACAACCCAAAGCTCCTGGCTAAGCATGCAAACATCACAGATAATTTTGGAAGGATTTTTTAGGTTTTTTTTCCCTAAAATCCTCAGTCATTTCCTTGTCTCAAGAGAAGTTTTTTTTTTCTGAAGGAATTCTTTAAAATTACTCTGTCTAATCACAGAGATGGAGAGAGATTTGATGGAGTTTTTAGCAGATATTCCTGTAAGGGAATTAAGGTGATTTTTTCCTTAATACTGTAAATCTCAACAGATTGAACAGCTGTTGACATCCTCTGTCACTGACATTGTATTCAATTGTGCACTGCCCCTAAGTGTGGTAAAACTTCAGCTTCCATCTGAGCTCCTTTATGTTCTGTAAGGTAGGCTGTCAGCATTGTAGGGCTGGTGCTCCTAGCATAATTGGTACTGAAGTTTTTAGTATTCTGTTTCCAGCTTAAGGAGGGAGGCTTTTTTTTATCAGGATCTTTGTATTTCCTCTCTTCTCCAATCCCCTCGTGTTGCTCTCTTCTTCAGACGTATACCAAGAATAGGAAGTGAAATGAAAATTGGGTATTCAGCAGGCAGCAAAAAGAGAAGCGTGCCTTTATGTTCATCAGAAAAGGATTTGTGGTGGAGCCAAGTCACTGACCTTTTCTTCTAATCCAACATGGGATTTTCAGGCAGAACTGTGCTCTGCTTCACAGAGACCTTGCCTGTTCTGAGGAAGTTTGCAGACATGTCCTAGGAGCACACACAGGACTCACTTGAGCCCTGGAATGTCAGTCTTAGGTCCCTTATGATTAATCCACCTTTCACTGCTGGGTCTAGGTCTCACTCTGCAGACTGTGTGAGCTTTTTTTAGGTTGTTGCTTCCTACTGAAGCCTCTACAGAGTATTGCACAGTTGTGAAGTTCACAGAGAACTAAATAAGATGCTTCTTGGTCCAACTGTAACCATGGATTACATTTAGGTGTTGAGTGCAGTCTAGGGCTGTGCTCATTGTGGAGGTCAGAGAGGAAGGTTGTGTTTAAACCAAGCTCTTCCTCCACCTCTTCCCTAAAACCCTCCAGACAAGCATAACCCAAGTGCCCTGCTGCTAAAGCTATTAACAGCAACTCAGAGATGCCAAGGCAAGTCATGGGGAAGGGAGACTGGGGAGCTAAGAAGGGTAAGAAGGTGCTGCAGAAGCCCTGGCATTTTAAGTGCTCTTGCCCACAAAGGATCCATTAGGTTTTCAAACAGCTGCTCAGAAGCATTTTGTCTGAGATGGCAGCATGGCTTTCTGAGCCTTGTGTGGCTCAGAAGGGACATATATTCTGCTGCACTGGTCTTTGAGGCTTAATGCATGCATTACATTATTTGTCAGTTGTGATACCCTGTAGGGCTTTGTGGTTATAGGTTCATCAAGAAAGGCCTATTTTATTTAGCAACCAGCATTTTCATTGCTCATAAACCTCTGTATCTGTAGCTCCTGCAGCAAGCATCTCTATGAAGAAGGCTTAAGATGTCATAATATTTGAAAGAGAAAAATATGCTTTTTTTGCCAGGACCTGTAATTTAGGCAGCAAAATAATTGGGTAGGAAGCATCTCTTATCTTTTGATGAATATGATATGAAAGACAGTTACAGCTTTTCAAACCTGGCTAAAACTATGAATTATCCTAGAATATTTGTGTGGATCTAATTTAGGCACCTGTCAGACAGAAATATTTTAGATTCTTTATATTGTCTTGCAGAGATACTGTGGCTGTTTCCAAAGACTTTTTTTATTGCATGAAATGAGGGGAACTTGTATAGCACAGTAAATACTGTGGAGACCTTAGAACCAATTAATTGGTTCCATGAGGAAGTTATTTTTGATGGGGGGAAGGATAAGTCTGGATGGGCTTTAAGCATTCTTACAGTATTCTTGAGAGAGGCATATCAGAAACTCTAGGAGGTCTGTTACTTCAAATGCTGGCACACCTTTCAGGCTACTGTAGGAGCTATTCTTTGTCATTTCAGGAGCACTGGGGGTATTGGTGTGAAAATTTTATTTTGTCTTCTTTTTCATTAAAGGGCATATTCAAAAATCCTTCCTACCTAGCCTGATTCTCAGCCTGGGGGCTTTACCATTCTGCCTAGTGTCTGTTTTCTTGCTTTGATGCTCACCCATTGTATTTTGGATGAGTTTGATATTATGGTTTGCCTGAGCTGAGCTGCTCCACCTGATGGTGACAACAAGAACAGGCCTCCTCTCAAGCAGTGAGGATTTATTTGAAAAGCTGTGGTCTAGGGGAAGCAATGCTGCAAGTGTAAGCTGTGTGCTGCCTTATTCCAGGAGACTGACTAATGGTGTTCTGTCCCCTTTGTATTCGAATGGAGAGTAGATAAGGCTAGGTAAAGATTAAGGATGGATCCTATATGGAAGAATGCCTATATATAGTAGCACATGCAAGGAATCTTCTTTGAAACATTTAAGCTGGCTGAGGTCAAAATTTCCTGTGCTATTCAGAATATAGTGTGAGAACTGACCATCCAAACATGAGCTGGTTACTTTCAGTCTGCACTCTTGCAAAAATGATGTCATGGGGTACCAACAAAAACAGGCAAATTGCTTTAATTCATGCTCTGAAACTCTGAGAAGTCTCCTTGACTTTGGTTTTCATAGCCTCTATCAAAACCTCTATCAAGTGTTCGGGTTTCATAGCCTCTATCAAAAAATGCAAATTCTAAGCTGTTCTTTTTTTTTTTCTTTTTGTCCTTTAGTATTAAATATACACACTTAGCATATCACAAAGTGGTCTGTACTGACCTTTGTTTTGCTTTTTCTTCCTTTCAGACACCCTGGCTCTGGAATACCAGGCAGTGCTGGAGCGGGTATCCCTATCAGGTAAAAGTTACAGTGCTGTCTGAGAACAAGCATGACACTTCTGCAGAGCTCTGGTTTTGTTATGGTGGAGCTTTGTGCCAGTATGTTTGTGTGAATGGGCTACTCAGCATTTCAGAACGTTGCTAGGTTATTCCCATCTTGCTTGAGTTCAAGATGGGAAAGATGGACATAGCTGTCACACCTGAATTCCACACATTAAATTCCAAAAGCTCCAGAGAAGAGGTTGCAGTTTAAGGAATTTAACCTAGAATGTGTGTATATATTATACATATATATATATATATACACACCCTATATGTCTAGGGGTTTTTTTTTGTTTTTTTTGTTTTTTTTTTCTTCCCTAAGAGCAGGGAAAGGGGAAAAAAGCAATTGTCTGACTGGAAAGTGTGAATAAGATAATTGTCCCAAAGACACATGAATCCCTGTGACAGTCAACAGCCCTTGACAGAACAGAGACTGAGCAGAACTGTGTTTGGAGGCTGCTGTTCTTCAAGGTTGTGTCTCTGTTGGAAATACTTCAATTTCACCCAGAGATGGAGGGTGAACTGAACAACAGTAGGGAAGCAGCAGCATAAATTGAATGGGGGAAGTGCTGAAACTTAATCCCTCAGAAACTTCAGGTACAGTTGTTTCTTAGATTGATGTACCTACAGTCACTGGTGCCTCTCAGCCTGGTTTCCTACTTTTTTTGTGTTATTATGTGCAAGAAGAGATTGACTGAAAGCAAAGGACCCTGAAGCTTACTGATTGAAGAACATATGTTTACCAGACTTACCAGAAGAACAAAGTCATTTAAAAGTTGGTTACAGCTTTTAGAGTGTGGGAGGTAAAATTACTATATCTAATATTGTTCTAGTAGCGGTGAGGGTCCAACATAAAGCAGATTGTCAAATTAAAGTCCGTATGAAAATCACTGTCTCAAAGATAAAAATATCTACTAGGTGCTAATCAGGGCTAAGTACTGGGGTTTCAGTTTGTTCTGTTGGTTTTTTCCACAACTAGATAAAATGTCAAATCTTTTATTTGCTACAACTCCTTTGTAAATTACTGAACAATGCACTGCAGAAATCCAGCTGGACTTTAATGTAGACATAGTCAAATGGATCATTTGGGTGATGACACAGCCATAATCACAGGTTAAACCTATTGAGGTTGTCTGTGGAGAACTGGAACCTAACATTTGAACTAAGTTAAACACACTATTGATCCAAGAAGGAATCTGTGACATCTTTAGAATTGCCCTACACTATCACTATGTATGGCTTTAGAAATATAAATGCTCTTGTTAATAAAGCAGCTGAAAAAATTTCATTTTTTACTAGGAGTTTTCCCCAGAGAGTTCCCTTGCAATAATGGGCACAATAGTTGCAGTTCATTACAAGCTCTTATTTTTTTTCCCATTTTAATTACACATGATCAAAAGTCTGTTGGCAATCTCTCTGACTCAGAAAAGAGTTATATTGGCCCAGGAGATGGCTTTAAAGGATGGATTTTAGTTGAGTTACACATTTTTCATAAAGCTTAAGCATATGTCTATATTAAATTAACACCCACAGCAGATTTCCTGGGAATCCAAGGACTGGCTTTCAGCTGCAAGGAACTCGTCTGCAAAAGGGAAAGGGAATAAAAGGTGCAACTGAAATACCTCTTGCCAATGGAAGCAGCTCATACCCTGCTTGGTGCACAGTTGTGCCAGTGCAAGGTGCTCTAGAGATGATTTATCTAATCCCTTGGGAATTGCCCTCAGGAGCTTCTCCCTTGCCAGGGTCCCTGTCTGTGCTGCCATTGAAGGCATGACTATCATGGAAGCACATTTCAATTAGAGCAGCTCCTAGGACTGGCTCTCCTAGGCTGAGGGTCAAATGTGTGCTACCAGTGACTTTTTTTGAAGTACCCCAGGCTGGTTTTGGTTGTGGATTTTTTAAAATTTCTTTTATTTTTAAACAACTCTGTAAGCATGTTGTATATCAGACAAGACACTTGGATAAATTTATTTTATTTTCTTCTTTCCAAATGTTAATATGTGCCCAGAAAATGGGAAAAGTAGGCATTTCTATTATGAAGAGCCCTGCTCAAAGCCCACATTTTCATCATGAACAGATGAGATTATATACTAGCATTACTTTTTTTTCTAGTCCACTCTAGTATTGGTTTTTTGCTATGCTTTAAACCCACATTACTGATATACAGCCAGATCTTTCAAGTAAACTTTCAAAACAGACTTAGGAATACCCAGAATTTAGTTTGCTCTGGGTTCCAAATGGACAATATCCTCATTTTTAGTATTACAGTATTGTCAGGGCTAAAGCATTAGAAGAGAATATCTTGGGGAGCTTATTTTTCCAGAGCCATCAGAGTTTGAAAGAGGCAACCATCATCTTTCTTCACATAGGATGCTTATGTATAATTCAATAATCCCCTGCAATTAAACATGCTTGCTATAGATCACAGCTGCCTGTAATGTCAGTTAGACTCTATTAACATTTTCTCATCTCCATTTTTCAGCCCCTGATGCCTGACCTTCATTACTACTACATAGTTGAATTGTCATTCTACTGGTCCTTAATGTTTTCTCAATTCATTGACGTCAAAAGAAAGGTAAGAACAACAACACTAAAAACACAGAGAGCTTTAAGCTTTAGCATACAGTTCTTTACTTGAGGAGTAGCTGCATTACCTGTGCAGTGAACTGGAAATGCAGTTCTTTCCAGCGTTCAGCTCTTGCAGATATTCATCACTGAGAAACTGTGATTGTCTTACTTTGCTCCTGGCTGCTGTAATATGAGGTTTTCCTGCACATGGAAAGGAGGGCCTGGAGAAAATATTGAAGGGCAAATAGCAGAAGCCAAAAGAATCTTCTGCTTTCATGCAGTGAATTGAATGGAATTGAACAGGTAGTATCTGTTAGATGTGCTGCTTCTTTTAAACAATGAAATATCAAGAAAAGGGCAAGACTGCCTCATAAATTCACATTATCACTTTGTGAGGTAAGATCTATGAGGGCTTTCAGATTTTTCTACAAAAGGACAGCAAAAACATTTAATATTAAGAAGTGATGTTATATTTAATTTTTATCCTTCCAATCATGTAGCTCAGCATTGCTATTAGAGAATTGTTAATGAAAAAAATCAAGACTCTATCCAAATAAAAATATTTTTCCAGAATTAGTTGCAACCTGTTCTATATTCCAAGTTCTCTCCTTCAAGGAGAATCCTAGTCCACAGCAGAACAAGCAGCACAACAGTTACTCTGTCATAACAGTCCATTGAACTATTCTTGCAGGGGCTTTAATGTTTCAAAATTAATTTTTTCAAACATTTGAAAGGGTTTTATAATATCTTTATGTGCTTCCTTCAGCTGTCATTTAAGTAAATTATTGTAGGCTATGCTAATGGAAAAATTCCTGTTTATTAGAATTTTAGCAGGAGCATAACTCTGAAAAGAGTAAATGAAGGATGCATTATGACCTGAATACACTCATCTGTCACTTAGAACCACAGTGTATTCCTGGGAGTCCTATGCCAGAGCTACCTGTATAGAAACACACTCCTCTGTTTGGATTTCCAGATTATTCCAGAAGCAGAAATCTCAAGAAAGCATCCACAAAATTTAAATCCATATTGGAGGATAAATTGTAAATAAAACAACCCATTTATGATGAATACATATAAATTCTTTGCTTGCATTGTCTGTAGATACTAAACATTCTGTTAATCGTGAGCTTGAAATGAGTATAACTTCCCTGTTTCACAAACTGAGATAGAGACAATGCTTAAGGGAGCTGTATGATAGTGGAGATGAGTTTAAATCAAGAGTAATATGGACTAATATGTTACACTGCAGGGGCCAAGTCTGTTTCTTAGTTACATAGAAATGACTTGTTATCAGAAAAACCTTAGGGCAACCGGCTGTGGAAATAAGGATGGGCCCTGGAGGTGGGGAAGTGAATTGCTGGCAGCCTGTTGACACCCCAGCCACAGCTCCTGTCCCAAGCACAGCTCTGTCTGAGAATGGCAGTGTCCAGCAGAGAGCACGAGCACATCCGCAGTGCAATGACAGCAAGTCAAAAGCCTTCCATTAATCAGCACCCAGCAGGGAGATGCCGTATTTATAAATGACCTACTAAACCACTCACTGGTTTGGGCTGTGGAGACAGCTCTTTTTGTAGTGGAAGCAGAATTGATAACGAGGAAGATCAGACTGGAGAAATGCAGCTGTGCCCTGGTGTCACACAGCAAAACTGTTTGGGGTGCAAGCTGCCAAGGAAACCCACTGAGCTGAAAAACGTTGCTACTAGAGACTTACAATAGTTGGCAAAAAGGAGTACAAGCTTGACAGAAACACCAGTTCTTGCAACACCATAGTAGTTCTCTTTTAAACGAAGGCTGAGTTTAAAAATTTTGGAGGCCTTGCAATGCACCCCATATGCAATGTGTGGAATGGTGCCCACATGAAATAGGGATCTGTTCAACAGGAAGCAGGAAACTTGCCAGCTAATATCAGATGCTATTGTAATATTTCACAATTGGCTTGTATGGAGCAGATTAACAGTTCTCAACTGAGTAAGCCACTGATGTTTTCATGCTGCAGTGAAAGGAATATTTTTATCTAAATCTTGGTTATCATTTTAGATACTTTAAATTCAGCAGCACTGGCTGTGTTGTATTCTGGGACAGTCAGAAGTGCCCAGGCAGTTTTGAGCACTGCAGGAATTCAGCCAAGTGGTTTTTTTCATGTAGTTGGGTTTGTCTGAAGGAGAGGTGCAGTGTGTCCTTGCTGGAAGCAGCAGCCCTCAGCACTGGCCTAACTCCAGAACTGGTCTTTTATTTACTGTAGATCAAGAGAAATGTACTTACTGTTTCCTATCTCCATTTTATTCTTCTCTGATAGCAAACTGATGACTTCAAAAATTACTTCCAGAGTTTTAGGGTTTTTGACTTTCAAATACTTTTTTATCTTCATTTAGGTGTTACAAATTCCATCAGATTGTCTTTGCCTGACTGGAGGTGTGAGCAAACTAGGCTGCTGCAGAAACCTACTATTGGCATTAAGTCAGTGAACTGTGTAGCAACTTCTACAGTTTTATAATGGTGCTTTTAGCTTCATAAATATCTATTATATTGCTGTAATGGTATTCTCCCTTAAGCGTGTTCATTTTCAAAGACTGAAACCTAGTATGAATTGGTGTTTTATCATCTTTTTCCAGCTTCCCATGCTGCTGTTTTGTAAAACACTGAAAAAAGTAATTATGGAAGTTTGTTAGTTTCAAAAGCACCTGATGAACCTTAAAAAGAGTGAGGCTTATTTACATGCTTTCTGGATACCTGATGTATTGTTTAACAGAAAAATATTTGGCAGGTACATTTAAAGGAATGTATTAAATTTGTACTCAGAGTTTTAGCAGGTGTGTAGAAGGTCTAGGAGACCTTTCCGTGTATTCACACCTTTTATTTCCAAGCATTTGGCAATTCCTAAAGCTTCTGTGTTTTACTTTTTCTTTTTTTTAAATGACAGTCCACTTATTCCAAGAATAAAACGATCTGTAGTTGCTGATTTTCTTGAATACTGAATTTTGATCGTAGAAAATTTACACTATATTTTGCTAAATTTGGATACTAGATTTCTTTCTTCAAAGAGGCTTTTCTTGGCAATGATAGACACACAGAATTGATTTCTTTTGTTTCAGTGGAAGCAGTTTAGATTGCATATGTTTTGCAGACCTTTCCCTTTCCTTGTTGATCTGTAATATAAGCCATACAGTTGATATTTTGCCCTTCAATGGCACCAATGCTCCCTGGCCCCTTGGCAGTTCAGGCAGTGAGTGTGACAAGTTAAACAAACGTGGGTGGCAGAAGCCTTAATTCCACAGGGCTTGTCTGCAAGTTGGGACCCATGGGGTTTCTCTGCTGTCTGCCCTGTGTTCTTCCCACTGATGGTGTCTAGAATAGGTTCTTTCTCCTATTCTTAGCCAGAGATTTTCTTGACCTAGGCACATGACATCTTCCAGCAGTTACAACTGGAGGCTATGAATCTTCTGTAAATAAACACATCTTTCACAAACATACATGTGATTTGAAATACAGTAATTAAAAAAAAATTTTAAAAAAGCCACAAAAATTAAGAAGCCCATTCCTGTACAACTGCTATTATATGTGGGTGAAAATGCTGGAGTAAGCTGGGAACACAGGGAACACAGGTACCACTTGGTATCTATGTGTTCAATACCCTTGTGTATAATTAAAATCTATCAGGTAGCATCTTCAGAGCATAGTATTAATTAATGACTTTAAAAAGTGTCACAAAGATGAAAGAAACAATCCCAAGTATAAAGCAGTCTTATTTATATAATTACTACTTTTTTTTCCAACAGTTTTCTGTAGATCAGTCCAGCACCTCTTTTTCAGAGGTGGCAGAGTCAAGTAACTGTCTTTTTTGAGAAACATTATTACAGGAGTTCCCCAGACAACATTTCTTTAAGAAGAGTCATGCAAAAATGCAGAAGACTGCTGCCCAAGAACATTAGGATTTCTTAGGAATAATCCATATTGTCAGGAATGCCTTGAAGACTATCCAAGAGGGACTAGAAATCTAGTATTTGTAGAACATGAATGTGTCAGCTGTGAAAACAAGGGAGATTTTCTACTTGACTTTTTGCCCCATTAAGACTTCCTATGTGCTAACATGATTGCATTTGGAAGGGAAATTAAGAACAGTGCCATAGTGCCTGCAGGTGAAGGAGGTAAAGAGCTAGACTGCAGTATGGCCACAGGGCAATAATAGTAGCTTACTTGTAATCCCATGGAATAAGGTTGGTACTTTGCTGGTTTTATTATTGTGAAGTGGTGAAATGGTCTTTATATGTGTGTTTCATAGTTCCTGAAATGACTGAGATGTCAAACCCTTGTTTTCCCTCAGGACACTCAGAAAGGGAGACAGCCTTTAATTGTATCTTTCTTCTGTCTGTGTTAGAGGTACTGGTGGTGCCTGCTGAGGAGTAGGAAATAGGATCTTGGAGCACCTGATAGCATTAAACATAATGATGGGCTGGGAGCAGGTCCTGTCCCTCCTCAGTTAGTGAGACTGCCCAAGGTGCAGGCTTTTCCATGGACTGCAGGTGTACACTGCAGGGAAGGCAGGTGCTGGCACTGGGAGGCAGTGGCACTGCACATCCCTAAAACCAGTGGTGCCTGCTGCCTTCCCAGAGAGAGCTGTGGGAACACTGTGCAGGAAATGCTTCTCAGGACTGAGCAGACAGTGCAGACAGTGCAGTCCTGTGTTAATTGGAGCTCGTGGCACTTTCCATAGGGCCCTGCTGCCTGACACAGGTATCTCCAGCTCCTTTGCAAACCAGGTGCTGTCCCTCTGAAGGCACGGTTTTGGTTTTCGCTGTTGTGGGCCACTTAGCTGAAGACTACCACAGCTCAGCAGGACTGGCCAACAAAAGCCACCAGAAAGCCAAATTCCACCTCCCAATACACTTGGTGAGCAGGCTGCCTGAAGGAGCTGCTCCTTTTGACTGTCTGGATCTCTCTCCTTTCTGACAGCTCTGCAAGAGACCCACTGGATCTGCTGGCAGATGTGCTACAGATTTTACATCTGGTGCATAGAGAAACTTCCCAGTTAAATGTTGCCTGCAATCTTAAGGGTTTTAATATCACTTCCTCAAAGCTGTGCAGGTCATTCAGCAAATGCCAAGAAGACTATTTTTGACTGACTCAGTGCCTTGCTGAGAAGAGTCTCATTAGGTCCTGCTCTCTCATTAATCAGTCTGGAAGCCTAGGCCAGGCAGGCAGATTGTTCCGTCTGCTTTATCTGCCTCATGGCAAGTATCTGTGACATTACTTCTAGGAGCGCCTCCACTCCCAGATTTTTCAATAGCAGCAGTTACTTTGTGGCCGAATAACTGAGAGTTACTGGTGTGGAGACCAGCTAGCCTGTATCATTTGGGAGGCAGTGGATTAGAACCAATTAGGAGGAGATGCTCCAGCTCACTTGAAGACTTTCCTGACCCTGTTACAGTGTGAAGACGAAGCACCTTGATTAAAAACAAACAAATAAAAGCCTGGATCTGGGATTCTCCCAGTTGTTCTTGGCAGGTGCCTGCTGTCCTGGTGTACTAGTGCCTTCCTTTGTAGCTATTTGCTCTCTTCTGAATGGTGAATTATTTGACACTTGGTTATGCATATTGTTATAATCATGTGTTACTTGATGCATAGAAACTACAGTGGAGTTTGATTTGCATGTACATATGCCTTTTCAAAGTAGCTTCAACTGCAAATGTTTACTTTATTAGGTTAAATTACTATGAACTGAGAAGTGTGGTAATTGCCTACCTTTCAATAATGTTTTTGCATTTGGTTAACATACAATGATTATTTTATTCAATCTAAATGAAATATAGAGCAGGGTGTATAATACACTTATATAGTAGATATTTTTATAACTTAAATATAATGCTGGATTTAAGAAACAACCATCCAATTTTGTATGTGAGTACAGAATATCAGTGTTTGCTTCATTGTATTTTTTGTTTTCTATGTCTTTTCCTTGCTTCTGCTTCTCTAGGACTTTGGAATCATGTTTACACATCACATTGTAACAGTCACCCTGATTACCTTCTCATACGTGACCAATCTGACACGAGTGGGAACCTTGATCTTGTGTCTCCATGATGCAGCTGATATTGTCCTAGAGGTAAGATCATTCCTGTGTCATCCTGTCACTAGGCAGAACCTTTTTTGCTATGCAGAACAAGTATTTCCTAAGCCAGTTCAAGATGGTAATGGTGATTAATATAGTCTATTTCCTTGCCTAAATATCTTGCACTTGTAGCAGCGCATATTTCTGATTTCAGACTGGTTTTTCCTTTGATATGTTGCTTGTACAGAGCAGAGACTGGTAATGCATTGCATGCCAGGGAGGGTTGCATGCAGATTCTAAATACAGCATGGGAAAATCAAAAGCTGAAGTTGCAAAATCTGCAAAATGGTGAAAGTGGTTCACCAGGTTCTTAACCCCCTGTGACATGGTGTGTGGAGCAGTGACGCTGTCTCTGAAAGGATCAAGGTGTCACTGTGTGTTTCTGCTCTGCTTTGCTGGGCAGAGGCTGTTGGACAATTTAGTGGCTTATTTGGGCATGGCCAGGGAGCTGACCTCTGGCTTTCCAGGTTCCCATGCCTCTGGATCCCAGTACCAGCAGCTGTATTTGGAGAAGAAGGGATGATTGGAATTCTTTTAAGTCAAGATAGTCTGTAACTTCCATAGTGGCAGCTTAGAGATGTTATCATCCTTTATCTGCACCAGTTGCTAGAGAGCTCTGCATCATGCTGGAATTTGGCTGTCTCTGAACTTTCCTCTGAAGTTAATAACTATTTTGTCTGAAATTATTTTTTATTCAAGTACCTGCAAGGATACCTGTTATGCAAGAATATGGACTTACTGCATGAGTCACCTATTGCAAAATCAAGATCCTGCCATTCTGATTCAGTAGTGCTGTAAATATGGCTTTATTTTTTAAACTTTTTTGGTCTAGAAAGCATATGACTGCCTGAGATAGAAAGCGAAAGAGAATATGGATTTTTGAGATAAAAATAATCACATCTTTGCAAGTTTATTTTTCTGTTTTAGCAATGTGTATAGCTAGCTGTGACTTCACCTAAACTTTCTTCATTCCTCTTTTCTCACCACCAGAAAGAAATACTTGAAGATGTTTATTCTAGATCAGACCAGTGTCTGTGGAACTATAACAACACTAGAGAGCAGCTGTACTAGGCTAGCTAAAACTTTACCCTCTGTTCATTAACTGAGACAAAGAGGAATTGCTGGTATTCTCACCAGTTGCAGACATTGGTCAGATATGCTTCCTCACGAGGCACATACTTAAGTGGTCTTTCTAGTCAGTTCTTTCAGTCTGGTTTGGCTGGAAATGCTGCTGGGGCTGCGCGTCACAGCACTGGTGCAATATGAGAAGAGATGGATTCTTGCATGCTGCTGACATTACTGAGGGGAAAGTCAGTACAGAGGAGGAAAGCTATCAAACTGCAAAAGAAGTTGGTTAAATGGTTTGCCTTGATGCGTCAGTTGTGCACCTGACTTGTGTTACCTATTACGTATTTGTAAAAATGAAAAGCTGTTTCTGGAGGCCACTGGACTCTTTCCATCTACCATTTTGTAATGAAACACATGCACTGGAAAGCTGGGAAGCACCATTTTTTGTTATTCTCATTGCAAAATGTAGTGTGAATTGGTGGGAATACTGGAGGTGATATTTTTTCCACTGATCTTAAGGTATCTGGAAGTATGGAAGAGCCATAATAGGATTTTCAAGAATTTGTAATGCTGTGTTCCTCAGTTGTAGTCATGGTTTTTCAATTCAGAAAATTGTGTTCTATTGTCTTAGGTGGCCAAGTTCCATCCAACAACAACATATTCATTCCTCTTTTTTTCTAGTCTTTCTTTATCACTATAATTTGCAGAATTATTGTAATTTGTTATTTGAGAACCAATGTCCCAATGGCTGTACTGTTTTTGAGAAATGGCATGATACTACTACAAGTTGCTATAGTAATATCAGCCTCATGCACTAAGAAACCAGTTTTTTAGACTGCCACCATGGAAATACATCCAGAATTCCTGGACTGATTTTTCCATCATCTTAAAAGCAAGGAAGTTAGTAATGCTTCTGCTTTGTATGTTGGCACCAAAGTGTTCTCTTTTCCTTCAAACTAGGCTATTTCCTTCAAACTGCTTCAAACCTCTAGAAAATAGGACTGATTCAGAAGGGTTATGTTTTCTTCACAGCAGTGATGGCTTTCCTTGTATTCTGGGAGCTTCTTAACTGGGTTTCTTTAGTGAGGAATAATCTTCATGTTCAGGTTTTTAGTTGAACATTGGAGAAATTGAGTAAATTGAGTGAAGTGCAGGTTTGGTTTTGGCATCCAGATTATCTGTTTCTCTGGTTTGAATTCTGCATTCAGAATCCTATTCTGTATGCCTGGTTGTAGTAATTTTGCTCCCTCTTAGTGCTCTGGAAGCCTACACAAGTGTCTTGTGGGGTACTGGGAGCTGGATGCAGGTCCCCTCAGAAAGGAGCTTTGAAAGGCTTAAGTGGGCACAAAAGAGTTCCCAGTGTCTTAAGTGGACTCTCTGGATACATTTGACAGAAAACATGAAGAAAGACTGACCCTGTCTCAAGGCAGATGTTGTTTTAAAGTAATAATTAACTGCTTGCACACATTAACACTGTGGAAGCAGCACGGACATGTTAAAACAAGCTTCCTTCCCTATATACCATTTTCTTAGGGGAGAAAAAGGGTAAAGAAACTTCTGGGAAGATCAGTGTTTTAATGAACAGTTTCAGAGAGGAGTAATGAATTAGTGAGTCCTTCACTGGGAAAGAGTCAGAAGATTGCATGAAGACAAGTGAGAAAAGCATGTAAATATAAGCATAAGACAACAAGTTAGAAAGCAGAAGCTGAAAAGAGAGCCTTGGAAAAATACTTGAAGGGGAGGGGTATAATATTTGAGGTGGAAACTACTCTGTTTAGGCAGAAAAGGAAGAAGAGATGCTTCAGAAAAATGCAGTACATGGGGTGTACTGGAGGAATTGAGACAAGGTTTATATATAGCAGCTACCAGAAGGTCTGAGAGCATGGGGTACATGGAAGGTAGATGGATGCTGAAAATGCCAGTGGAGCATACTGGAAAGGTGAAAGATAAGCAGGTAAAGAAGTTGGGGACAAAGACACCATAAACATACTGAAGTTCGATAAAAGGTTTAGAAGAGTTTTGCAAATCTGAAATTGTACAATCTCAAAAATGAAATTGAGTGGGAAATAAATTAAATACATACTCTAGTTTTTTGTAGTCTGATTTGGTTTTTATTCCAAAAAAGATATTTCCAGCTGCTTGGTAGAGAGGAGTTCCAAGATCACTGTGAGATGGCCCAGTGAAAATGTTAGCGATATCATAAAAATTTGATTTCTTCTTTTTCTTACAGCTTATACACAGTGCAAGAGAATTGAGTTGTCCTCATGGAAGTAAAAACACATCTTTTTCTTTTGCAGGCTGCCAAAATGGCAAACTATTGCAAGTGTCAAAAACTGAGTGACCTTCTATTCCTTACATTTGCCGTTGTCTTCATTGTCAGTAGGCTTGGCATATATCCCTTATGGTGAGTAAGGACATTGTTTTCCTCAAGCTCTAGGCACCAAACAAGCTTGGAAATAACTATGTTATAATTGAAAACGATTCATTGCTGTTACTCTGTTTCCCAAAGCACCAGGGAAGAGTTTCAGACATAACCAGGTGCTGGAACAGCCTGTTTGCTGGAGTGCCATTGTGTTTACTGTGTGCTAGATGAGAAACATCTGGGCCTTCTGCTGCTTTTGAGCTGGAAGTGGGCTGGAGACAGCATAGCTTCAGACTAGCAGGTGGCTGGCTGTATTGGCAAGAAAGGAGAGGAAAATCAGTCACCAAAAAACCAACCAGCAGCTAAGCTTGAAGCTAGAATATTCTCAGTGCTTGCTTCATGAGCACTTTCAGCTTAAAGAAAACACAGTGGAATAAGTAAAATCTGACCTGCAATAAGGATGTTGTTGTCATGCAGATTGCAATACTGCAGACTCTCCTTTTCCACCTCTCCTTTGAATTGGGGTTCTTGGGGCAGCTGTGTAACACTTCTGTCTAGGTTTGTGTGAAATTACACAGCTCTTACTGTAATCTCACATCTTCCCAGACAGTCAGCTGCTTGCATGTGCTCACACTCTGTGGGTACACAGACATGCATGCACACAGGCTGAGCACAGATGTTTGGTTCTTTAGCTGGGATCTTCTGATCCAGGGGGCAGATGGCTAATTAGGAAACACGTGGAGGTACTTCATTGTAAAAATGCATTAAAGTTTTTCTGCATCCTGTGCACTATATATGAGGAGGGCTGAGAGAAAGTGTTGACCTGGGCCCTTTTTTCAATCTTTTCTTTCTTTAAACAGAACTAGCACAGATACCTGTATTTCTAGGCAAGTAGGAGAGGTCTTTCATTGCATCAGAAGATGAAAAATGACAGTTTTGTTTTTGGGAAGCAGCAAGAATAGCAGAAATTGTACCCTTTGTAGAGTTTATTTAGATTACCACCAAGCTCCTTATATTCAGAGGATTTACAGATGCCAATGTCAACCTCCCTGCTCCAGTTTCCTTTCCAAACCTCACTAATGATGCCTCTTTGAGGTTTTGTTAATGCAAACAGGGTAAGAGCAAGATGCCCATAGGGAGCTGTGTCATCAGCTCTGCTTAACCCTACAATGTAGACATCTCATTTAATGTTTGATGGCTCCAAAGATATTGTCATAATGCCTGGTCCCTACTGTGTTGTGAGTTGGTGAACAAACATGACAGACATTAAAATGGATAGACACACAAACTGCATGTCTAGAAACATTTGTTATTTTCTTTGAGGAGCGGTTTTTTCTTTCTTAAACAGTTTTGCTTCCGTTCCTCAGTCCTTCCTTGAAGCCAGCTGGGCCATTCACTGAATTTCTGTAAATGAAATAAGCTGGTTTTTCTACTTACATGGTCTCAGATAGGAAAAATGGTGGCATTCCTGCTCATAGGATTTCACCTGACCCCTGTTTCCTGTTTTATATTGAGAAATGGAGGGAGGACCCAATTTCACCAGTGCATTTCTGCCACTGGAGACTGCAGTATATGACTGTGCTTAAGGAAGGGCTCAGTCAGATGAGGACTGGATGGATTTGCAAAGGGGAAATCATACTTGGCCAACCTGATAACCTTCTATGATGAAATTACTGGCTTGTAATTACATAATTACTGGATTAATGGGCAGAGTGCACCCTCAGCAAGTTTGCATGTTCCACCTGTGAGGAATGGCTGATACACCACAGGGTTGTGCTGCCATCCAAAGGGAAGGAACCTCAGCAGGCTGGAGATACAGCAAACAGGAGCCTCAGAAGTTCAGCAGAAGCTGTGCAGAACCCTGCAGCAGTATTTTCTGAGGGCTGACCACCAGAAAAGCAGCCTTGCACCACAGGAACTGGGGGTTCCAATGGGCACTGGGGTGAACATGAGCCAGTTCTGTGCCCTTGTGGTAACAAAGGCTGCTGGAGCCCTGGGCTGCCTTAGGAGGGGGTGGGCAGTGGGCTCAGACAGGGGACCCTGCCTTGCTGCCAGCCCTGCCGAGGCCACGTGCAGAGCACTGTGCAGCTCTGGCCTCCAGCAGCAGAGGCACAAAGCTACTGGAGAGAGTCCAGCAGCAGTCACTGAGACTGATCTGGGGACTGGGGCACCTCTCACAGGAGGAGAGGTTGAGACAGGCAGGATGGTTTAGCACAGAAAAGAGAAAGCTCAAAAAGGGTATTATCGATACATGCATGAAGGGAGAGAGTAAAGAAGAGTGAGCCAGGGCTTGTCCATTGACAGGAGTGCAGCAGCTGGCAGTGTGCTGTGTGCTCCCTGTCACAGCCAGAGTGGGGACCCTGGCGATCCCTCTGCCTTGTCACGCTTTAACCCCAGCTGCCAACAAAGCCCCAGGAAGCTGCTCACTCACTTCCCACCCATGAGATGGGGGAGAGAATCAGGAGGGTAGAAGGGAGAGAACTCATGAGCTGAGATAAAACCAGTTCAATAGGTTAAGGCAAGGGCTGTGCGCACAAGCAAAGCTAAACAAGGCTTTCATCCACCACTTCCTGTGGGCTGGCAGGTGTTCAGCCATCTCCAGGACAGCAGGGCTCTATTTGTAATGGTGACCTGGGAAGTGCAAACACCAACATGATCCCTTCCCCCTTCTTCCCCCAGGTTTGTATGCTGAGCACGACACCACATGGTGTGGAGTATCCCTGGGGGCAGCTGTCCCAGCTGTGTCCCCTTCCAACTCCTTGTGCACCCCATTCTCCTCACTGAGGGCTGTGTGAGGAGCAGAAAATGCTTTTGCTCTGGGAGAGCACTGCTCAGCAATAACAGAAGCATCCTGAAATTACCAACACTGTTTCCTGCACAAATCCAGGATATAGCCCTATGCCACCTACCATGAAGAAAACTAAGTCTGTGCAAGCCCAAACCAGTGCATCCCTGAATCAATGAAAAATACATTCATTTATCTGAATATGCAAATAGTTTAAGTGTGGTGTAAAAAAATACTTGATTTTTTTAAGACCCTTTTATTTCCAGACCAAAGCCTTGATGTTTGTCAATCCCTGTATGGGCCATAAACTTAAGAGTTGGACTCGATGATCCTTGTGGGTCCCTTCCAGCTCAGAATATTCTGTGCATCTCTTCCTGATGGCTGCCCTTAGATAAAGCCAGAGGCAGATTCATTGTTCTAGCTGTACTGTAGGCAATGCATGTGGGAGTCAGAGTTGGCAGGGATGAGCCATGGCATACATGAGCTTGTGTCTCCCAAATCCTTTTCCTCTATGAAACAGCAATTCTAAATCTTGAGCTCTATTAGTTTGCATGTCAGCAAAGATGACTCACTGGAGTGGCAGCAGGCCAGGAAGTATAGCTTTGCTCTCCTTTACTGAAAAATCAAAATAGCAAAATTTGGTGCCTGATTAATATTACATAAATATGCAAATTTTGCTAGCATAAAGGCTGAGAGGTATAAAATCAGTGTGCATGTAATGTAAAAGCAAGGCTGTAATTTGTAAGAAAACTTCCCCCACGCAGGAAGGTGAATGCCCCAGACAGGCTGGCAGGGACGTCACTCCCAGGCCCTGCTGCGCTGCCCCTTGGCACAAGGGCACTTCATTGTGCACAGAGGTGCTCATGGAGAATTCAGAACGTATCAAATGCTGTTTTGTCTTAGCCCTGCTGGTGTTTAACAGCAGGGCTAAGACAAAAGAAACTGGCAATTAGGTATATATTTAGCAGTCTTTCTGCAGGCATCTGGAGTTCATTTCAGCAATAATTCAAAAACCCCAGGATACTTTCTGCCTCCTGCTGCTAAGTGAATGTAGGAGTAAAGCTGCTATTTTCACTGACAAGACATTTTGCTTGTGAAATTCTCCCACTTGCACATAATCACTGTTCTAGCAAATTACAACATAGAACACAACTCTCCATGAGTCAGGAGGAACATGGTGCCTTCTCAGGTGAACCAGGATTGTAGGGAGAATGAAAGCAATCTCAACCAAAAATTAATATAAATTATACAAGCCCTTGGCTAGTCTAATCAGGCTGGGTAAAGCAGTTACTTCCAGCTCTCAAGGAAGCTGGGCTTATATTTATTTACCAGGTTAAGGCACCAAACCAGTTAAATTGAGGCTCTTTCAAATTGCTCTGACTAGTTACTAGCATGCAGTTTTCTGGAGTTTTTCACTTCTTTTGATTACTTTTATAAAGAGTTATATTGTCTGGGAGGTAAGAACCTGTTTTTCAGGGAAGTGTTGCTGACAAGTACTGCTGTCAAAGGACAAGGACACAAGCAAACAGCCTTGGCATTCATGGGTTGGCCTCTGAGTTCTCAGCATGCTTGTATTACACACATGCACTGAGAAATATAAAATAGTGCCTTAACGTGCAGATTTAAATGAAAGCCTGATTGAAGCAGATTATAAAGAGCAGAGGTCATGTTCTGCATATGCTGTCCCACAAGTTCTCATCTAGACAAATTTGGTATAATCCAGGTAGTCCTTATTATGCCCTTCTGTTCTTGATCTCTGTACACTGTCAGTGTCCGGAGTTGTATCACATTAAAAGCTGTGAAGATGGACAGTCAACTACGTGGATTAGTTGGTATAGTCTTGTTTCATGCCAGTAGGTACATCTTAGCTGGATCTTTTTTTTTGTGAGTCTGTTTGGAAATATTCTGGGGGGAAAAAATGGAAACCAGTAATTCTCACTGTTAAAATTCAAAGCTGTTTCAGGTGTATGTCTCCTCATCAACTGCAGTGTGTGGCTTCTGAATGAGATTTTGGTGCCAGTGTACCTTTTATAAGTATGGGTCAGCCAGTCCTCAGAAGAAAAACTTTGTTCCTTGCTATTCTTTCATTTTTGAAGCTTGTTCATGACAGTACACACAGTCTGGCTCATGGCTGATATCTATCTAATTGCCTTTACATGGCAGTGAGTATCTGCATGAACCAGGCAGGCCTGGTGTGATTCTTCATGAGTTGCAGTTAACTTCTGTTCAGCGTGGCGAGCTCTAATGAACCCCAGTT